GTTAACAAACTGGGCGTCATAAACATGCCTTTTCTAAACCTGAATACTTACAATTAATTTATAAATTTGTAGAGAAAAGTTCTTTCATTCCACTGAACCCGATAGCAACTAATAGAGTAGATAAAAAAGAGAATGGAATTCTTTTAAATCGAAAATTTCTACAGCTAGATGTCAAGTCAAATTTAATTTAATATGATTAAACATTACTCTTTGTTGTATTATTGTAAGTCATAAGGCGTGTAACTTATAACACACATTATCCTAATGGAACTGCAATACAAAGCAATGCTGTGTATCCAGTAATAAATACCAAAACTATAGATTTATTATTGCAAGTAAAGTCTGCAAATTCTGAGCCAACCCACGTGTTGTCTGACTTGTGATTTTTGTCCTACTTTTGTTAAGAAATGACAAGGTGATGTTAGCGTATCGTTGTGTATCATTAATTAATTGATTGACCTGCAGGAATGCTAATATAGTTTTATGATTACTTTTAATTAGCTTAGTATTTTGAAAGTCGTTTTCTTATCTAATCGTCCCATTGTAAATAAATTTCAGATATGAAAAATGGAATAAATTCGGATCGTTAAACGATGTCCACCTCCTTTATGATTTGCCATAAATGTCATATGTGCTGTCTGAAGTGATTAAGAAAAGTAACAAGATATTTAGGCATCTCTTTAGGCGATCACACCTCTCCGCCTTGTCAAATTAGTTATAAACTTTGATATTTCGTCCAGACAATCGTGACCTATTCGGATAACAACAAACAAATTCATTAAACGTGGCGGTATAATTCATAACTTAAGTAGTCATTAAATATGCAAATTTCGTCGAGATGTTAACTTTGTAAAACACGCCTTATTTCACTTCTTCGCAACGTTATCTAATTAAAAACGTAACCTTGTGGTCGCCCATTGAGAAAGCTAGCGGTAACCAATAAAATCCATTGGATCGATACGAATGGGATGGTGGGTGACGACAAAACGTAATAAAATTAAAAATCATAGCTTAAGATTATCGCGCATTTCTTTATGGGCTGTCTGGCGATGATTATTACAAACTCATCCCACTTACAGACATTCAAATGGATTTAGATAATTTACGACTTACAATAACGGCACAAAGGTGACAATAACTAATGAAAATTTTTATAACCCAGATTATTGCAAAGTAACCAAATCTAAACCGCTCTGATGATCACTTAATAAACTCTCAAACCCGTCATGCGGTAATCTGTAGGTTTTTGCTCAATCCAATTGAATTAAATCCAAAAAAAAACAAATTTATGCATAAGAAAATTTATTCAAAAATTAGATACAAGGTGCTGGTTGGCCAAAAGGCCATCTAATTAGAATTTTTATTGGTCGATATATGTTCAACATTTTGTTTGGCGTACCCTTTTACATTTTTTTAAATCTTGATGAACGATTATTTTATGTTGTGGCTCTAGACTCCGAAGTTATGTAGGTTTTTAATTCCCGTTTTAATTAAATGTATTCTACCACATATAAAATTATTGCTATTGAAATAACTTTTTTCGCTTAAATAAACAGTGGTTAAGCCTACATCAAAATTAATAAGCAAGTTTCTTCGAAGCAAAACAGTAAAATAAATAGAAATTGTTTTTATTCAGAAAGTTATTTGCGTTCCACATACTTCGGCACATCTAAGAAATTTAAAAGATAATCCATAAAGTTTAAAAATAGAAAACAGTAATAAAAAAGCAATCAAAACTCGACTGGTACTGGTGATTGATTGATCAATTCTACCTTAAGCAGAGGAAAAGTAAAAATTTCTTTCAGATCCTTCTTGTTTTAAACATGAAATGGAAGTGGTAATTTTTTGTCTTTTCTTTCTTGGGGAAACAAAGTCGAGCGGTTAATTTCAAGGGTAATTAAATTAATATTCTTGTAAGTCACGCTACAGATTCAAAGAGAGGCTATAAATAAATCAAGAAAGAAGTCACTGAAGAAAATCCTCTTAGGTATGAAGGAATTAGAAATACCAATCACTTATGAATTAATAATTCCTTACATCACTTTTCTAATTACATCTGATTCGAAATGGCTTCCTTTTTGTGTGAACTTTTGAAAAACCGGTATATTTTATTTATGACATGGGATATTGCAATTGCATTTTTGTAAACAAGTAAACTTCGTTTCAAAAGTGTTTGATTTAATCCGATTATAAGATTAAAGATTATTCTGCCCACGATTTATTGCTGTCTATTTATGCTTTTATTTTTCAAAGTTCTTAGTGGCCATTCGGACATTTGTTGCATGGGTTTGTGGGTGGTCAATGCCCCAGATAAACTCTTAACTGTTTATGCGATTTCATACGAAAATAATCAAAGACATAATAAAACCAAAATGATTGATTTCCATCTTGATCCCAAATTAAAGTGCCCAATTTTAGTTAAGCCCTTCAGTTATTAGTGTCAAAATTGAGCTTAGTTAAATTAAACTTTCACAATTACAGTATTTGTCAACAAGTAGTTGTGTATTACTACCATATTTGTAAAGTAAATATTGGTTATTTCCATATAAGAATAACACGTCATGGAGGTATTTTTATTAAACTTGACACGTGTAGTATTATATTAAAATTCCCACGTTAAGATGGGTACTAACAGTTTGAGTTAAATAATTTTTCACCTATTAGCATAGTCTCGTAAATCGAAATAATTTTGAGTCAGTTAACTCTTTTTAAAATAAGAGATTGGAGTGAGCATCAGGGCGTGTTGTTTGTGATCAGAGTTGATCTTCTTTACGACATTTAAAGTATCATCGTAGACAATGATCGACTTTTATTATTGGCAGAAAGACCGTTTACACCAATTTGCATACGATCCTTAATTGAGTATTTGTGCAACTAACAAGGTTGCCGTTTCATCCCACTTATCCAGAGAATAATGATAGGGCGGTGTCTTATCTTTTAAGCCCGATCGCACTCTCATAAGAGGCTCGTTCGACCGGATTCTATCAAAACTTATCATAGTTGCGAACATTTTCTTTTTACTTTTTGAATGTGCAAAATAATTTATGCGGAAATGTGTACGACTCGACAAATCTATGATAAGAGAGTTAATTAATCACTGATTTACCCTCGGGCTAGATTGGATGCAGAAAGATGGCGCCAGAAGTTGTCACATAAAAATTATTGATATACTGTCATTATTAATCAGACCTTGGTGTGTTTACTGTAAAAGGTACTTGCAAAAGAGACTGTCTCTCTACGAATTTGAAAAAAAATCGAAAAATCGATTATTCAAGGTGCAGCCTACACTAACTTTAATTTACATCACTTTTATTTCTTTTGGAAGTAATGAATAGTTACTGGGGCGCTAAAATAGCCATGTGAATATCACGTTTAATTAAAATTCATTAATATGTAAATTGCTCTTTTATTGACTTAATTTCGTTAAACTGCATTTACGTTCTAAAACTTGTATGTCAAGTTCTTTTAAGGCAGCTTTGTTCAGCAAAAAACGAACACAAACACAAAAAACGTTATTTCATAATGATCTAGTTTTATTTGTTTCATTAGCGAATTATATTGTCTGCAAAATTTAGCACCTGTTGCTCATTAATTCATTGCATTTTTGGGTCGAGTTTAGAAAGAGTGACAAGCTGAACAAGTTGTACAAGTGCACCGAAAACAATCCAATCATTATTCCTTCTATTTTTTCTCGAATCTCGTAGAGTAGATTCGGGAAAGGTGAAATTTTGTACAAAAAGTTAAACAATTTTCAGCCTTGCTAAGTAAAAAAATTGTAAAGTGTGTCTTTATAATCATTTAGGAATTTTTATAAAATAAGACATAAAAAGCAGAAAGAGAGGAAAAGAAATTTAAGTTTGGCAACCCCAAATACTCATATATTCAAATTAATTAAAAAGCTTTGCCAGTTAACCATATTTCCCGGCATTACCCTATCCTTGTGTGCCAAAACCAAAATATGATGTAAGTAATTCTTGACAAACAATCTTTATATTTTTATTCAGTGACTTTATAAGAGATCAAAAATTTTTGGAATTACAATAATCTGCTTCTAGAAGTTAGGTATTGTTATTTAAAGAATAGAATAAATATATTTTATATTGAGAGAAAGTAAAAATGTTATCACCGCTGAAACTAAAAAAGAAGGATTTGAATAAAGATCTTAGACTGTTTTGGTAAAGAAAGATTCTGGCAGAGTTATTTGTAGCAATTTTTGATTAGTTTACATTCTTCCGAGTAAAGCTATTTTTAATACTCAGTATCTAATTATACATATAACGCAAGATCTTAAAATAATTATTATAAGCCCACCTATACCAAAATTCCTGAGATAATTTACGAGTCTTTTACAAAACAATTTTGATCTGATTGTTTTTTCTTTCAGTGTTGGTTTCTAACACATAAAACACTGAAAACACGTGATAACTGATTTTGGTTATGACGCTGTTAATTTATATACATTACTGTCTGTTAATAAATTTTACCAAATTACAAACACCTGGCTGTGAGGAATTTTCATTGAAGAAAAGTATGTATCTTCATTTTTTAATGATTCATGAATGATTCGTGTTTTAAAAATGGCAATAAAATCATAAAAATCTGTATAAAGTACGCGGGAGATTATAAATAGATGTCAATAAAAAGTTTCGCGACAGTGAATCATGACGATAGTAAACAATGCGTTAATACTCACGCCAAATGCTTCTCTGAAATGCACGCAGTTATGCAAATAATAAGTGAAAAACTAATATCCGCCCGCACAAACCGAATTCCTGCAAGGCGTAACCTAGACTTACCCCCAAGCTTACCTAATGAAAATGCGATTAGCAACAAGTGGGCGTCTAAAGCGCCAATGAGAGCGTCACGACGTAGGCGTCTCGTTCTGGATATGCGTACTAATGCACTATATTAAACGAATTTTCAATGAATAGGATTAGTTAATTAGATCATCTCTGGATTGATTACTCTGTCAAGGGAAACTGAGTCGATTTTTGTTACAGAAGAGATGAAATGTTTTACGAAGATGGTGGTGTGGCTGACGGATCTCCAAAAGTAGGACGCTATTAAGGGAGACCGAGGTGCAAGGGTTGGTGTTGCCCTTAATCCTCGAATTTACCCACCGCCATCGCTGGCTACTATGCAAATTGCACACTGGATCCGAGCCCTCGTTGCGGTAAGTGAAAATTATGAAATTTGTTTGTGTTTGTTCAAATTCCGGATTATTTGGTTCGAATAGATAAGGCAAATAGAATGAATGGAAAACCCAACTTGATTCCGGCAGTATTTCAAATTCCTTTATATGCTAAAGCGTCAATTACTTAATATCAATTATGATAGTTAGCGCTTCCAATAAAGATGTTCTGTTTACCCTTCTTTAATATTTCACACGGATCTTTAATGATGCTTAGTATAAATAGTGCTATTTTGTCAATTACGTGATAAAAGTCTTCTTGGATCGAGATGTATGGGAAGATGCGAATATTTTTTAATATGATATAAAACATCGTGTAATGGGATATTAGATAACCAATAAATTCAACGCCTTCTCACACTTTACGACGTAGGTGGTTGTAATGAAGATTTACAATGAGATTTTTAATTACAAGAGTGATTAATATCCTTCCTAAACAAACATAAATAACTTCTTCCTCACTTCAGGTTGCATTTATGTATTCACTATAGACGAGCTTATTAATTTATAACATGTACGACCGATGAATTACAATCAACTCCAGAACATGAACATTTTTTTTTCTTCTTTGGTAATTACATAATAAAGAAACAGCCATTTGTTCTTTCCGTTTCGGCTGCAAACGACACTATTTGTGGGTGTACAATACGAACATGCCAACATCTTGTAACGTTACTATCGGATTATAATAACTAACTCTGCAAAGAAAGTATCTGACTACCAAAAGATAAACTTACTACAAAGTCGATGAATATTTCACTTATACAAGTAGATAAGTCCTTTTTATATGTCCCTTTTACATTGAGAATTAATCTGTGTGGGTTCAAATACACCTGACGTAAATCACGGTTTTTATTCTGATATAAATTTATAGTCTACTTTTCTCTAAAGCATTTTCTCATTTGAGATAAACAAGCCACAATAGGTATCCACTTAAGGCGAGAACGATATAACTCTAGTCACTTGCGATGATCACAGATGGCTCGCGATTCTCAATATTTGAGATTACGAGAAATTATATTTATTTAAATGGACGTATGTAAAATGAAAAGCCTTTTATTTAAATTGACGAAACCAGTTGTGATAAAATTATATTTGTGATCACAGTGAGCCGCTTATCAGTTAAAGGCCCTGAAAATTTATTTGCCACATTTACCCCACATTTTTATTGACCAAAATAAATATGTATACCTACCTATGGTGTATACATACCAACAGTATTTCTGCATACAGCATGCACTCTTTAAATGTGAAAATAAGATCATCAAAATTGCAAAAAAAATATGTTCTCTTTGTGTTTTCTCTCTAATTTGAAGCGTAATTAAAAGAAAAAGTTGAAATATTTTTATGTTACGTTTAAAAATACAAAAAAAAATTCGTATGTAAAGTTATTTTTATTTGTAGAACTTTTTAAATAAATAATAAAATTGATTGATCGAATTTCAACCATAATAATTTAGGACCAGATTCAGTTAAAACTGTTGCAATTGTTTTCATTCACTTTTTTTTCTAACAAAGCTATTGTCATTTTTCAAAAATTACATTTTTTTCTTATAAAATTGCCCATAAATGATTAAACGGTCTGTGATAGATTATAGATCCATAGTACCTAATATAGATTTTCTTAGAATTATAAACTCTTTCAAATAAGCGCATAATACATATACCGCGTGTTCCATAAAAAATATAACTTTGTTGCGCCACCCTGTATAGGAATCATATATAATGATGACATTTTTTTTTATTTCGGTGTCACAATGAGCATTTTGTGCAACTGAAAACAGTTGCATAAAATGCGATTTTATGCCACTTTTTTTAGTGACATTTTATACAATACTTTGGCCATCACTGGCCATAATCTGTCGTTTTTAAGTAAGAAATTGTTCCTGTTTAACGTATTTCACCGAAACTAATGCAATGTAAGCTATTTTCGAGCAATTTGGTTACTGCATAAGTTAAATGTTAAAAATTTTGACTATCAATTATAATAATAAATTCAATTTAAAAAGCTCAATAGAAAAAAATAGTATAAAAAAGGCGTGTTAGAACCTCTCATTGTGATACTCTTGCAACTACTACTCATATCACAATGAGAGTGTTTGTAACACTTTAATATACTATTGCATAGATCATAGAAAAAATGAATGTCTATCATCCAAAAAAAACTGTATTTCATTATCTTCTTGACTGTCAGAGTAATCGAAGAAATACGAAGCTCTGGGACACTGTATATTTTATTAAAGGCATTGGTTGAGAAAAACGGTTATAGAAAAAATTAAAAAAATGATAGGATGTTATAAGGCAATGTGTTATGAATGTTATGGTTTTTCATCAAGTGATTGCTATCTTCACCAGAAACTGGCCAGTAGATTTTCCCATTATAAAAATATGTCATAACATAGATATTTTAACATGAACACAAACAATAGGATAATTATTAATCACACCTTACTTAATATTGCATATTAATCAATAAATGACTTCATTTTCTATTATATTATAATATGTAAACAATGTCAGTATTAAAATAATAATAAAGCAAATAGATAATCAAAACAAACGTGCTTATTTCTACAAAACACAGTAATGAAGAAATTGTAAAAGATATAACACGAATAAGTTAAAGAAATCATTCAATAGTGTGGTGCAATATGAGATGCGTGTGTAGTGTGACTTATGATTTGATTATCTTTCTGTAACTCTGATGTAAATAAGACAATAAAAACCCAATATGAAATAAATCTGGAAGTCAACTTCGGTCAATAGTCATTATTTTTAGTATTTGATTACCCATTAAACAACAATAGATTTGAAGTGTGATCCAATCCTCCGTTGATCTACGATAGTTAGGTGGTGGTCCAGTCAATTCCAAGGGCTGATTTACACAATAATTGACAAAGGGTTGAACGATATTAGATACCAAAAAGGAAAAAAATGGACAACCGTATCAGATTCGTGATCCAATGATGAAATAAAAAGACTGGACCGCCTCATTGATCATTTTCTAAATGAGCGTAGATATCACAGATAGTGTAGTTTAATAATTAAGCGTTCTTTCGAGATTAATACGTTAAAGTCGGAGACAGGCTTTAATAATGTCCTTATTTATGCGATCGTATCTAGCGTATTTTATGGCAGTCATTATGTTGTTCTTTTTGCGCGATTAAATAAGCCGCTTTTTAACAGAATGAAAATTTGTTCCGGTGCAATTGAAGAATATTTCTTTTATGCAGGTGCTTGGCTTCGCCGCCGTTCTTCCAGTAAGTTGCAGCGAGCATTTCAACAACACGCTCTTCGATCGCAGCAAACGCAGCATCCACAAACACCATCACGACAGCTGGTGAGTGCCCTAAGAGCCTCAAGAGTCCCAAAATTGACTTTTGCGTAGGTACGAACACGACGTTCATCTGTGGTTTCCCGGCAAGTTGTTGAATCACCGCGACAACCAAATGCTGCTGCGCGAAGAAAGCAGCAGCGGCAACAACGGCAGCGAGTGCTGCCCCTCCGTCCTCGAGATGATCGAACCCCAAGGGGGCAAAAACCGGCAAGACCAATACGTGGAATTGTACCGGGATGGGGACTACACGCAGAGGTTCTACGAGCGGTCGTGCCATAAGGAGATTCTGGGGAAGCCGTGCAGGTTCATGGACAAAAAGCTGCACGAGCACTCGAAGTGCATCCAGAAGTATAGCTACACTTATGCACTGGTTCGGGACCTGGGGAGGCATCATATGCAGAGGCCAAAGAATTTCCCGTCGTTAGCGGCACCAGGGGGAGTTACGTGGACTTTAGACTATATAAGGATTAGAAGTGGTTGTGCTTGTGTAGTTACGCCTAATAAGAAGAAGAGAGACAGGCTGAAACACCGAAAGACGAGAGTCAAAGACGATTCAAAATAAACTTTTTAAGAAATTTCGGTATACCAAAGGACTTAGGTGTGCGTAAGTTGCGACTGGAACGATTTTCTAGTGGTTAGACATTCCAATCATAGGCCGGTCCAGGTTTTGGCCTATTATTTTGCTCATTGTATTTCCTGATAATGCAAGATGGTTCATATTATCTAGGAATAAAATAGGCCTTCGTGCAGTAAATGACTTCTTACGGAAGTTTAACGAAAACAGGATTATCGTTGGTCACTCAAGTGACCCTATTATTTGACATGTGAATGCACTAGTCTACTATTAAAAAATAATATATAACTCATTGTAAAAAATGATTGAAAGGTAAACCATAAAAGGGTAATTCGACTTACAAAGTGGAAATGAGTACCGCTACAACCGTAAACAACCTACACGCATATTATAACAGTGTATTTGTGTATTTACGAACAGTATTAATAGATTTTTAATTACTTGTCTTAATACTCAAAAAACATTATCACCAATACTCATCGCTTCTTACATAATTTTTAGTATTAAATTATTTATGGTTACCTACTTTCAAAGTACTGAAAATGTTAGATTTAAGAAATAATTTGCCGAATATTGTTTTTATTGAAATGTGAAATGTTTAAAAAATTATGTAAATAGTTGCTATTTATTGCTTTTGTATTTTGGAACTAGTATTACTGTTCAATTTTTTGCATTTCAATAAAACGTAATAACTGTGTACCTCAGAAATTAGTTTTAAATTTTTATATTATTTTATTGAGAAAATTATATCGCCTACACAATGTATTTTCTGTCAAGTACTTATTATAAGTGTTATAATTGTTGAAATATTAAATCTTAAATAATTATGTACATATACTTAATGAAATAAAGCTGTGCAAATAAACTAACATTTAAACATTCAAAACATTGATTCATTTACCCCCAACAATCACATTGCCAAGCAAATTTGGCAATTGGTGTCATCATTCGATCATCACCCACATCCAAATTTTCGTACATCAAAATTATTCGTATTTTCAACCAAAAAACAAACAAATTTCAAGGTAAATCCATACATATATTACAAAATCAGGTTCCCTTTATTTGAAATTCATTAGAAAAACTTTTCCGCCAACAACTCTTTTCAGTACTAATAATGCAATCCCCGATTAACATCACCGAAGATATGATACCACAACATTTCACAACTTTCCATTTTTGCGGTTATAATCAAATTTACAATGCTGCAATAACATACACGGAACACGGAAGTAGGTATTTCGACCAGAATTAATTTTTTGGTGACGAGTTTTTCAGTAAATATTAACTTTCTGGATTCGAAATTACCAACAGTTTCTGGAGCCGGACTGTACAAAGAGTACGTCCTAACGGCTCTAGATTTTCACTGGGACTCGGAACATTTAATCGATAATCAAAGGTAAACAAATCTTAACAAGAAAACGCGATATAAAAGAATGTTAGGTACCCTCTCGAAGGACAGTTAATTCATTATGCTAAGAAATATGAAAATTTCAAGAATGCATTAAATTATAAAGACGGTGTTGCTATTTTCAGCACATTTTTCAATGTACGTAGGTGAAATATGTTTGGCTATTTAATTAAAATATGGCTTCAGATAACGGAGAATTCAAACGATGCGTTTGAAAATTTAATCGAAACGATTCCAGTGATACGAATGAAAATTGATCATCAAGTCAAATTACTGCAACCAATTATACCGCGACATTTTTTAAGCGACAAAATTGGCAAGTTTTATCGGTATAACGGGTCCCTAACAACGCCTTGTTTTGATGAAACTGTGATTTGGACGATTTTCTCAACACCGAATCATATCTCGCAGACTCAAATAATTTTTATCCTTCTTATCACTAAAATTAAATCAATTTCAGTTGGAGGAGTTGCAAAAAAAATGGGAACATTTAAATAAATCTCGAACAACTAATTACAGAGAGCTACAGGATGATAATGACCGTCGAATATATTTCAGTCTGATTTAAGGTAAAACCAGGATTTATTTCTTCAAGGAAAGTGACAGGTTAAGTGCTTCCGCTTTCACATTTGCAATTTTGTATCACATTTTATTGCCTGTTTTAGGTGAATACAGTTACATACAATTAAAAACATTTAAAATAAATTTAAGTCTTACAGCATTTACGACACGTTCTCAAGTATAAAAATACAAAATATAACGAATACTTATTTAAGAATACTCAGTTTAATACTATAATTTAAGTCTAGAACCATACACATTGTTGCAAATTGATAACTATGTGGAATGTTGACACATAATGCAAATACAGGGTGTTTTAAAACAATACGCAGTGAATGATTCTGAACACCCTAAATCACTAAAAGTATTTTATTTTAAATATTGTAAAAATTTGTAAATTTTGCGTATACTCACAATAAAATGTAACAAAAAATACTTTTTACATATAGAGTTATTAATGCATAGTGACAAGGATGGTCCACAACTAAATATATATAAATTGACCGAAAACCAAAATAAAAATTGCATAAATTTTAAGATAAATTGATTTTTAGGTTACATAATAAGTTAATAACCCTGTATAATGTGAAAAAATATTAAAAAGCTGCCAATAAAAAATAGTAAAGAGTGCTAAAATAAAACCATCCTGCGCTTCATTGTTTTTGCGGAAATTAAATCAGCGGTTGTTGTAAATATTGAGAATGAACCAAATCACTGAATTGCATCGTCATTACGTTATTAGTGCCTTGAATTAATGTTTGATGATTTGGTAGTGATGTTTGGAAGTAAGGAACGATAACCCCCACTGAGTTATTACTAGTACCTGTAAAAAAAAATGTAATTTTTTTTTCACGTAACAAAAAAATAATTACCAGCTAAAAAATCGATTTGTTGCGGAATGACAAACTTATCATCTGTAAGTGGAAAATTCAAAAGTCCCTGTTGAAGGAGAAGCTCTTCTGTTTTACTAAGCGAAATATCCGCTACTAACTGATCTGACGTATCAGCAGTTTCGATCACAGTCGATTGTGATGTTTCTTCCTTAGGTACTTTAGGTCCCAAATTTTCACCAGTCTTGTGATCCACTTTATGACGTCTTCGTGTGTGTTTCAACCAATTTGGATAATTCGTAAATGTACGTTCGCAATATTTACATTTGTAAGGCCGCTCACCTGTATGAATGTTAAAATGTTGCTACAAAAACCAAATAAATTATTCGAAAATCATCGTATTTTATATACCACCTTCAATTTAGTACTACTCAAAAACCCTTTACTGCAATAGCTACAAACGAAAGGTCTCGCTGCGGCATGAACTAAACTATGGACTTTTAAACAACGTTCAGTCTTGTACATTTTTTGGCACACTTCACACTTAAACGGCCGTTGATCGCTATGAAAACTGTAATGGCGGGCCAAGTGTGACTTTTCTGCAAAACTGCAAAACCATGAATTGAAGCTCGAAATGTGGTCAAAAAGCTTACGTCTTGCCACATTTATCACAACCGTGGGGCTTGTCGCCTGTGTGTTGTTTGACGTGTTGTTGCATGTTTACTTTTTGGGTGAAAGTTTTACCGCAAACGTCACACATGAACCGGCGGCCTAGCCGGTGGACGTTCATGTGAGAGGTCAAACCACCTCGTGTGTGTAATCTAAGACACACAACAAAAAAATATTGAAACTCCGTAAAACAGCGAATACATAAGCCGCAAAAAATTGCTTCAAAGTTTGTTAACTCTAATCTAAAAATAATCAGCGCGATCAAATAACGATGTTTCAATTTCTAAAGTAAAGTTGCTGATTGCGTAAAAACAAATCTATAATTAAATAAAAAAACTCAACGTATTATTGCATCAGCTCAAATTTCTATTTCCTGTGTAAAAAGACACCTACATTTTACCACACTCCACACAAGGGTAATCCTCCTTAAGTTCAGTCTTGTGTTTTCTGAGATGAATTTTTAGTCCTGGTTTAGTCACAAAGCTCTTACCACATTCATCACACATAAAAGGTTTAGCTTTTGTGTGTTTGGCTAAGACATGAACGTGTAACATGCTTTGTAAACTAAAACCTTTAGGACATTCCTGACACCTTAAAAAAACGAATTAACAAAACATTTTTTGTAGAAAATCTTATAATTACTTGTAACGGCCTTCTGTTATATGCCTGTAACAATGTGATCTAAAAGTGGAATATTTTTCAGCAGTCTTATTGCAAAAAGTGCAGGTATAAACTGGAACTAATCCATAATTGTCTTGGTAATGTTTATCAAATTCAGTTTTATAAGGAAAAACTTGTTCACACATATTACATTTGACTCCCCAATGAGCCCTCCATTCCTCCTTTACATTATCCAAAATCTCATCATCTAATTTCTCGCCATCTGAAATAAATCCTATAGAAGAACCTTACATCTAGAGTGAATTAAATTACCAGCTTCCTCTTGCAAATCTTTGAAAATGTCTTCCTCATTTATGTTTAATAAATCATCATTATCTGGCATTTCTAAGGCATTTAAATTATTTGTTAGAAAAAATTTATCAATGTTAGTTTCTGAAGGACAAAGATTTGGTGTCTTTTCTATTAAATCCTGAGATGATTCAGAACCACTAAACATTGAACCATTTTGGCTAACTTCCAATTGTACTGCTTTTTGTGGTACCAATGATTTTCGCCGATTTCGTCGTTTTTTAGGTGTTGTGTCATCCTCATCACTCTCACTATCATTGTTCAAATCTAAATTTAAATTACTACCACTTTCCTCATCACTTGTAAAATCATTCTTCATAAAATTTTCACATTCCTCTAAAACTAATTTTGGAATTTCTTCCTTAATCTCGAGAAAGTCATCCAAATATTCGGATTTACTCTGATCCGAGCTTGAAACTTCTTGTTCAAGATGTCTCATTTTTTATGTTTACAAACTAAAGTTAGGTTAGGATAGCGTCACCTAAAGAAAAATTCTAATTAAAATCTCACTTTTATCGTAAGTGTTAATAAATATCTTTGTTTACTAATATTAATTAATTTTTAATTACCTCCGAATCCTGTATCGATTATAATAAGTACCACAAAGTAAACAAATTTAAAGTACACACATTTTTAAAAAGAGAAATTTAAAACCAACTTTCTCACACATTATCACTGTTTTCTCTTAATTTTTTATTAAATTGTGTTTTATTTGTTGCAGAGAAGCCATTATTAAAATTTTAAGCAAAATATTTCACCACCACCACTATATCATGTCTACGCACCCCTGCATAGAAACTTTCGTTTTTCACCAAATCAAGCGCCAAATTTGAATTACACTTTTTGGTAATGTTTTATTGATTTTTGAAAATCTTTAAGAGTTATGTTTTGAAAAAAAGAATTACAATAAAAAAAACACTTGTGTTTTGTTTTTATAGCAAAACTTTTTGTCACATAAAAAATGAAATAAAACATTTTATTTACTAAAGAATCTAACAACATAATAAGTAGTGATACACAAACAACCTTACTGACAATGCTTTTGTTTAAATAAAACACCAAATTTTTATAAAACATTTATTCGGTTGCTAAACAAAGTTATAAATATTATATTACACTTTTAATTTGTACATTTCGCCTTTTGATTGGTTTTTTTAAATTCGCTACAAGAAGGAACAAGAAACGTTATTGAAGTATCCTCCACTGACTTTATTCCTTCTTCAGATATACTTCTAACACTAACTCTATATCGATACTCAAATTCGAGATTAGTTAAAACATAATGAGACATCTAAAAATAATTTTTATGATTAAGGAAGAGGACTATAAAAAATCCTACTTTTGTTGTCACTGCTAATTTAAAATGATTCCGAGATTTTGAATTTTTGTGACAAGGCCAAGCCCATAAAGACACGGCATATTTTGAAGAGTCTTTCCCAGGTTTCCAAATTATTTTCGCTTTTAAACTATTCTGAGACCAATAGATTTTTAACACCTGTAAGTCTTGGATTTTATTTCTAATCGGTGATTTAGTCGAGACTAAACTATGAGTAACTAGAAAAAAATATTTTAATCGTGTTTGGTTTTATTTGGACTTGAATTTAAACCATTCATGTAGTTTGTTGTGTTTAAAACAAGTCCTGATTTTTCTCCCTTTAGGCGGCTTTTACCATATTGAGCTAACGCCTGAATTTGAAGAAAATACAAAGAGTTAGGTTGGAGGTTTTGCAATAAAAACCTTGTTTGTTCCTGAAACGTAATTCGTGCTTTAAATGTAAACATGCAGAAATAACAAAACGATTTTCTTATCTCGGATATTAGGTACAATCAAAGTGCTAATAATTTTTTTAAGACGTTAAAACTTTGTATAAACAATTCTGATATTTAGACATCTTCCCAAAAACAAAGCCTTCGTTTTTTGTTGTGATTCTAAAAGAAAACGCAACCTAATATCGTCACCCACAGGAATTAATGGATGTATTGTTACGAAAGATATATAAGATGAAACTAAATACAAATCACTTCATAACTCTCCGATAGTGGCAAAGTGACTTCGTACAGTGTTAAATATGGTTTGGTGTTGATTTAGTTTTATCCTCCAATAATAATAAAAATTGTTTTCAGAAAAAAAAAATAATTGCAATTTTACTAACTTTTACGTTTATTAAATGTACGCATCCGATGGAAATTTGGAAAGACAAAAATTACAATTTTTTAGATTATGATAAAGTAGACGACGATAAGTGTGATAACGAGATTTGCCAAAACAACTTCGACGTCTTGATTAAGAGAAAGGTGAAAGATAACGAAGACACGGCTTACCAATCAGTGGGTTATACGCTCAGATTTGGTTCGGTTTAACCGGAATTTTTAGGTCGTTATGGGTAAAAAGACAACAAGACTGTCACCTTATTACCATTCTTCACGGCCGATGCCTTGTTCATGTGGTATCGAATTTCGCCTGCTTGATTTAGGACACCAATATTATCCAAGGTGTGTATCAAATTAAATAAAAAACTCAGCTTTTTTAAAATGGCAATTTTGCTAGATATTTACACACAGGTGTATGCAAATCGGAACTTTGTGGGGGCCCCTACCGCTGCAACGAACGCCACTACAAGGTTCGAGTTTTGAAACAGAAAGACCCTCAAAACCCCGAAGTAATAAAACCCTCAATGACCCTTCCAGACACTTTAAAAGGAACTTGGCTCTCCGAAATAATTACAGTAACAGTCGCGTGTGAATGTTCTGTTTAAATAAACTGATTAACTGTATTTTTTAATCAAATAAGAAATGCATCTTGACGTTTCAATTTTTTTCTTACCTTTGGTACCACTCTCTGATTTACAAGAACCGAATTCAGAGCTTTGTCACCATGCAGTCTTCGACTCCAAAAAACTTTATATTTTTGAATTGGCAAATCTGAGAGTGGAGGCGCCCAACACAATTCTCCGATCAAAGTCCCGTTTGAGTCACTCCACAATGAGCTAACTGTCATATTTTGAGGAGCTCTGGGGGCTCTAGGTCCTAAAAATCTACAATTACAATTATTTCTAATTTCAAGCACCAAACGTACTTGCGGAAACACTGAAAGTGGGTGAATTATCGGAGAAGCCTTTAGTACCATTTTCGTTCACTGCGGCCACCCGGAATTGGTACCAACGACCGGGCTTGACAACATTTCGTAAAATGTGACTAGTTTTGTTAGTTTGACCACATTGCGACCATTCACTTAAATGTTCTTCGATAAAGTTGCGTCCGGTGTGGTGACGCTCTTCGAGTAAGTAGAGGACGACTTCGGAATTTTCCCCATATTGCAGTCCTGGGTTCCATTCGATATGAACCGTGCGTTTTCTTAAGCCTTCGGTCAGTTTTATGTCTTGGGGGATAGGAGGAATGCCTGTTTGTGGAAAATGAGGATAAAGTGACTGAAATTGCCCGGCTCCTCCACCAAATTTATTTCAATAATAAAAAAAAATGCGATTACAAATTTTAAGAAATAAGAATGGTTATTGTTATAGTAAAGTTCGTGTATAATTAGAAATAACATGTAAAATTGGTTCGTTTGCGTTCATTTAATTACCCGACTAACAATTAAATAAAATTGGTATTTCTTTTTGTTTCCGAATTCAATACTAACAAGGTGTAATTATGATAATTAGAGAGCGCGGTGTTTCTCAAAAAACGAGAACGATTAGTGACATTATCATATTTACACTTAATTCTGTGATTCAACTTCAACTGTAAATTTCTCGTGTTTCTTGGTGGTCCTATTGGAATTCATCTCAGGAGTTGTGTGGCAAAAACTAGGCCATTATTTTGATATCTAAACCAGTTTTATTAACTTGCTGAAAATCAATCAGTTACAGATGGCAGTAGCGGAGGTAAATTGATCAGGTAATTAAATTTTATGGTTATTCTTCCAAATTATTATGATTAAGCTATCACAAAAATTGAACGGTTTGGGACGTTTTGATTATCATACAAAGAATGCAACCGAATTACCTGCACGAAATTTAAACTAAACGATTAAAGTTATTAAAACTAGTAACCTACATTTATGAATAATATCTCACCCACTGCTGATAACAGTTCTTCGGGATGTTGACAAGTGACTCCGCAACTGTGCCGGCAGCATTTTTTCAAATTTGGACATTGATTATCTTGAGTGCAAGTCGTTAAGCAAACGGCGTCGAAAGGTGATAAGATTTTGCCGTTTTGTGGACAACGACCGGGTTTATTGAAAGGTGCAGCTAGACACGATTTGACACACTGAAAAAAATATACGGGAAAATACTAAAAGAGTTGCCAACTTTGACAATGTATGTGGCCAATGATCTTCATTTTAACAATACAACTACATACCTATATGTCAGCTGTATATTAGCTATTTTATTGGGTTGATGGCCTTCAGTGCAGCGCATATATGTACGAACTGATTTTTTGTAATATCAGATTTAAGACTTGCAGTTAAATTAATGCACTATTTGTTTACACAGACTATTTCAAAGACGGCTTGACCGAACATACATATGCACTTATTTTAAATGTAATTGTTTTTAAAATTATTCAAAGAATAATAAATTAATTAATTTTATTGAGATAAGATATTCGTGATAGTGCCTGCAGTTTGTCAATAATGTTAATTAAGTGTGATTATTTGGGTGACCCCGTTTTTATCAAGTGCCAAAAATGCGATTTCTTCACATAAAAAATATTTTTTGAAAAAAAAAAAACCGAGTCGAGAAGAGTATCAGTTTATGCGGAACTGAAAACTTGTTCTTCCATTTATAAAGTAAAGATGTATACCTACCTGTGTGTAGGTACTGCTATTAATTGGTATATAACTGGTGTTCATCTAAGACTTCCATTTATATCGCAGGATTAGTAAGAACTGTGTCCACATTAATCTTCATTTAAATTATAACAGTAGTTAATCCCTTCCTGATTTTTCAGTACTTACCGAGTTTTTGTTGGGTTGGTGCCAACAGCTCGTTTTACAGCGCGTGGCGGCGAGAGCGTCGTGTTCGTACCGCGTCTTGAGAGCGTCGACGGCGTCGAAAAAACCCCGCGGTTCGCGTACTAGCACTAGTACTAGGAGTACCGTGAACAGAGCCATCGCGAGTACTGCGGCTCATATGACGAGGCAGAGTCGTACTGGCGGTGGCACGCTCTTGACAACTTAGCTGCTGATCTAGCCACACAGCCGACCTGCTTCATGAATGCATCCCGACTTGTTATGCGATAACTTTACCCACTTTCATCACCTATATTAACGGGAACAACTAGAGTGCCGCAACCCGGCCACTTGCGCACGACAGGTTCTAGATTTACATTAAAAAGGCAGGAATTTCTGATACCTTTTTTTAGCCACACCGAAAGCTACTTTTAATTATGTAGGTTTCACACGAAGACCTTTTTCAACTAGCTTCTCCATCCAGAATACAGATTTTATTCAAATATATGAATGTCTAGAAGGTATTTTAATTTTTAGCCCCACATTTTGCATCGTTGTGATTTGTTTATAAAACACAAGATGTTGTCATTTGTTAAGTTAGTTAAGTGGTGCAAACGCCTTTGATTTTGTGACAAAATTGCGCACTTTTCGATTCAGAAACTGCAAAATGAGTCATAGCGTAATAGTGTTCCCCTTACGGTACTTGCGCGAAAATAAACAAACTCCTTTAAGTCTTACTCGACCGCGTCATTTATTTGTTTCGCCTTTTTTTATGCGAAATGCTACTCTTAATTACTTGGGCGAAAAAACTAACTGCAAATTGCTCACGATTTGCATTAAAATTTTAGCAAGACAAAGTAATACGTGCGATGGCAACTGGCAATCAATTTCGGATTGTATGCATGTGAATAATAAAGTCTTTTCATGTTGACTTTTATATATAAAGCAAGTATTGGTTTGGAGACAGCTTTATAGACGCGGCAAAATCTGTAAGGATGATGATCCCTTCTTTGCTGGTGGTCGCCGCTATGGTGGCCTGTTCCAGCGCTGATCCTATTTTCGGTTGGGTAAGTCATTTTTTTGTTGCTTGATGGACGCGATGATTTAAAAGATGCATTCGAGAGATAACTGCTACTAAAATTTCAATGCAGTATGATTTGTGTCAAGAGTGTCCATCGTCGGAAGAAGGAGATGTGTTTACGGAAACTTGGTGTGAATGGATGTGTGAAACAATTGAGGAAGAGAAGTGTGCTACAACTTTACCTACAAGTACAACACAAGCATCAACTTCATCTACAACAAAGTCTTCGACAACTTTTTCAACGACGTCTTCAATATCTACAACGTCACAAAAATCATCACAGAACGAATCATCGACGATGCAGAATAAAGCCGCAAACTCAACTGCTACCTAAAAACACAAATTATTAAATTTTTTTATACGGGGTGTTCCGTTTTTATTGTTACAAATTTAAACAGGTGATTAAAAATTCAATTTTAAGATAAAAGTTTTCTATAAACATGTATCGAAAAATATTATATAAGAGAGCTACACTCCCTAAAAGAGGTGCATCTGGATTTTTTCCAATATTTCAGAAAACATTGTAGATAAAAATGCAAAATTTTGGTACAACTGATAACCTTTATACAATCAAACGAATTCAAAACTAAAATGTCAAAATTTTTACTCAAGGGCGTCCTAAACTGAGGAGGTTTAGGGTAAAAAGTACCCTAACTATTTTGGCTGTTGGCTCTTGCCACTTTCAACTACAAAATTCTAAATTCCATAATTTTTCACAAAAAAGAGGTTTTTTCAATACAACTTACCGTTTTTGAATAAAATCGGTTTACAACTTGTCTTGCAGAAGATGATACAGATTAAAAATTAAATTCGTTTTACCGTTTAAGAGACCCGTGATTAAAAATATCGACAATTGCGATTTTTGAATTCGTTCAGGTGTTTAAACGTTATCACTTATCAGCTTTACCAACTTTATTAAATTTTATCTATTCTGCAATAGTGGGAAACCCCCATTAAAAGACGCATCTCTTCCTTGCGTGGCATTTTTCGATACTTGTTCATATGAAACTTTTGTGTTAACATCGGATATTCTATCACCTGTTTAAATTTGTAACAATAAAAACGGAACACCCGTATTTTTTTTACGTAATTATTATTGCAAACTATTGTTGAATTAAGTTTATATTGTTATTGTTATTATTATAATTGTGTTGTAATTAACATTTAATCTATGTATTATTTAAGTTTTAAGTATAATAAATAGAATTATAATTATTTTCTACAGTATTACAGATATCAAATAAAATTTTTATGAGCAAAACGACTATGATCAATTCGTTTCTCACTCAGTTTAATTAATCAATTACTTTCATAAATTAGTATAATTTGTAGCATTAAACATACTGAGTTATAAGCATTTGAATAGTCCGCCTGATAGTAGTTGTAGTTTTCTAAGCTTTGAACTGTTGGTTGCACTGATGTTTTGGTAACAACGTGACAACATAACCGCAAAAAAGTGTCATTTTTTTGCGAAAATGGGCAAACGTAGAAGGGGCCGTTGTGTGAAAAATAACACGAATGTGAATACAGAAGCGGCGGAAGTGGTGCAGGCCCCCCATTCGTTTGTCATTCATAAGGGACTCCCGGGTGGCCATTTGTTAGAACTTACGAAAGATTTTCGTAAAGTTATGGAACCCTTCACTGCTACTTCTCTTAAGGTAGGTTTAGGGGCTTCTATTGAATATAGGGTTCTTACGATATGTTTTTTTTAGGAGCGTAAGAAAAACACGGTCAAGGATTTTGTTGCCGTTGCCGGTTTGTTGCATGTTTCACATTTAATGATTTTTTCGCGAACGGAAATTGGAATGTATTTGAAAATATGTCGATTGCCGCGAGGGCCCACAATGACATTCAAAATTCATAATTTTTCTCTAGCCAGAGATGTTGTTTCATCGCTTAAAAAACAAGCAGTGGTTGAGGCTGCGTTTAAACATTCGCCTTTGATTGTTTTGAATAGTTTCACGAGTGAAGGAATGCATCTGAAACTGATGGCTTCAATGTTTCAAAATATGTTTCCTACAATAAATCTAACAAACGTTCGTTTTTTCTATATTTTATACTTTCGGTAATTAATTCATTTTAGGTTGATTTAAACAATGTGAGACGTTGTGTATTGTTAAATTATAATCCTACCACAAAACTAATTGACTTTAGACATTACACAATCAAAGTCATTCCTGTCGGAATTTCAAAAGGTGTGAAAAAGGTGGTTCAAGGCAAAGTGCCCAATCTTAGTAAATGTGGAGATATTTCCGAATTTCTAACAAAGTAAAATTATTTTTTTGATTTATCAGTTTTTAATAAAAAATACTTGTAGATCCGGCATGTTGTCAGAAAGTGAATTTGAGGATGATCCTAGTAATCACGTAACTTTATCACAGAAGCTGATTTCAAGAGGAAATATTGAATCTGGGAAATCATCAATTAAATTAACAGAGTTAGGGCCAAGACTAACTTTACAATTAATTAAAATTGAAGATGGCCTACTTGATGGCGAAGTTTTATACCACGACTTAATTGAAAAAACTGAACAAGAGAAATTAGAAATACAAAAGAAACGTGAAGCTAAAAGAAAATTGAAAGAAAAGAGGAAAATGATACAAGAGAAAAATAAAGAAAAGAAGGAAGATATGAAAAAAGAATTGAAAGAAAAGTCATTAGAAGGCATGAAAAAGAAAGAGTCGAATGAAGGGGGTGCTACTGTTGAAGATGATAATGATGCTGAATACTACAAAGAAGAAGTCGGGGAAGAACCTGATAAAGGTAAATGGCTCATCACCACTTGAATTTATTTTAATTGTTTGTTTTAGATTTGTTCACGCAATCTCAAAGAAAATCCTCAAGGCCGGTTCATGCCTTCAGAAAGAGGAAAGCAAATGAAAAAACAGATAATTCTGGAACAAAGAAAATTAAAAGGAATGTCAAAAAAGGCACACGTAATTTACAAAATCGTGATCAGCGACCCATCGGCGGCCAAGCTTTTGCCAAAGGGAAGGTAAAAAACAAACGTAATTTTAAAAAATGATCTATTATAAAATTTCAAATTGGATTATTTTTGTTTTGTGATTTAATCCAGTTTTCTTTCCGTATCATCGCTTCCCGCATTCGTCTTTCTTTCCTACTTTCCTCACGAGCGACATAATATTTTTCTCTAAAGTCGACAATTTTATTTTGATCTGAATTGGCGTCTTTCGGGTTAATATTGCGTACTTTTTCAAACGTTAAAAGTCTTCGGGACGTAATTTTAGTTAAAATTTGTTCGCTATTGGCAACCAGTTTTAAACACGGATGTGACGGAAGTCCTTCTTGAGTATAGTCTTCTCTAAGAAATATTTATTAATAGTATGAATTATAAATTGTGGAAAGTTTACCTGAAGACAGGAAACCAACAAACAAGCCTCCCACCTAACCTCAAATGTTTTGCAGAAAATTTCAACAAGTCGTTGTAAATGCTAGAAATTCCATATTCAATTTTAGCTGGAATGTGTGTGGGCAAGTGTTTTTCGCTCACAGTGAAGTTTTCTTTACTTGTGCCCACTCTTTCTGTTGCTTCTCGGATCCCATAGGGGGCTATAAAAGTCTTTAAATTGAAAGATTCATTAGCAGTAACTTACGATCGGTTATTATTGAATCAAACTCAACATCATCTCTCCAAAAAGATGAAGCAAAATCGTTTATGAGCACATCTAAATATTTGTGTTGTAAATTATACTGTTCCATATTTGCTTTAATGCTTTCATCAGCTGCTCTTTCCTAAAATAACTTGACGTTTTTTATTGTGAAAAAATAAATTAGAAAACCTTTTGTTTAATTCGTGATGGCCTAGTCCTTGCATGTAACATTAAATAATCAATGTCGCCCCCAATGACAAACCCGCCGAATTCTGCAGCTGCTACAAGGAGAGACCCAGAGCCTACAAAGGGGTCTAACACTATGTCCCCATCCTTGACTTGGGCTTGATTAGCCATCAATAAGGACAACTGTGGATCCATACTAGTATTTCCAATAAATTTACGAGTTTTCAGTGACAATTTTCTAATTAATTGTCTTAAACCATTAGCTATCTGAAAATTAAAATGTGAAACCTTTTTACTTTACAAATAATTGAAACTGACCCATCTACCAAAAAAAACGTCGTAGGGGTATTCAGGTGGGTCATTAGCCCTTGTCCCGTAATACTCAATGTAATGTAAACAAACATCTGGATCTTTTAATTTAACAGGGCCTTGAACGGGCAGATAACTAAAACTCTGAACAAAAAATTACTATTGCTATCAGTAATATAACAGTACTTCAAGTTTATTAATTTTTTCCTTTTGGGTGAAGTGGCGACAAAAGGTTTCCACTTCAATTTTGAAAGACAAATGTGGTTGAAAATAGGGCTCCATTATTTTTTTTGGAAAATTCTGTAACTGGCAGTGCAAACTCTGAATGTCTTTTGCATGTGCCCACAATTCCATACATGATCTAATGGAGACCGATCTGCTAACTAAACGTTTTAAGTCATTTTCTGACTCAAATTCAACTATCCAATAAGGCGCCTAGAAAATTAATTAAATTTTAATTCGTCGTATGTCAAGATTATTTTACCGTATTATTTGGTTCGTTTGAATATCTCATTTTAATATTAAACATGGAAAGTAATGAATCAATTTCCTAAAAAACATTTTAAGTAAAACATTGAATGAAATGTGAATACAAACTTCAAAGCGAAATTCAATATGTTCTTGTGCAAACCACAAGAGATATTTTTTCCATGGTTTATTCATTTTGAATAACCTAAACAATACAAATTTATATAAAAAATAAGTGCAAAAACACGTTTGTTATAGGTTAAGTTGTTAGTGAGAAAAAGTGAGGTTATAAGATCTGTCACTGTTGGTACAACTTGTCACGTATGAAATTTCGCGCCATATTGAGGACAATCCGTTGCATTTTTTTGTATTTGTAATTTATAAAATTTCTCTGGGTTTTTTTTTTCTTGGGACTTTCAACCAATGGAGCATAAACATTATGTGTTCCAAGAAAGGCAAGCTGCAGACAAAACACGTGCATACCTCTGTAAAAGGTTCTGTGAAGCGTATGATTGCAGGGCATCAGGTCACGGCAAATTTTCAGACTTTGCAGTCTGAAGTAGTCTTGTATCATGAATGTCTTGTTGATTGATTAAAGCAAGACCTTCAGTTCATAGCCCCAAAAATCAATAAATGTTACTTAACGGAGTTAAAATTTTGTTTCATTGTTATTGATTAAACTTTTCCTGGCAACTGGAAGTTTTCCTTTTTAATAGAAAACTAGAAACCCGTCGGAAATAACAAGTGTCAGATTGTGGGCAAAATTATTTAACATTTTTGTTCATTAAAAAAGAAATGGATGTGACAGAATACGGATGTAATGAGAATACTAATATAAAGGATGATGATAGCGTTGTGTCTGAGAAGTGTTGGCAAGAAACTTACAGAGGAGATAGCAGAAAATGGCTCATAAGAGACGGATCCCGGAAAAAATCAGATGAACGTTTAAAATCTACAATAAAAGCGACATATCCATACCCTTTTCAAGAAGAGAGACAATATGTAGGTATGTGCCCCAAACGCCAACAATTTTATTGAAAATTGACACCTGTTTTAACGCCAGTGTTGCTAAAATTGATTTACAGCAGCGAACAAATAACCATTGTGTCCTAGTTTTCGTAAAGAATAAAAAAAGATACATCATTGCGTTTGATTCTCAAGTAAATTTATAATTTTGAAGAATAGGCGTGACTGTGTATGTTTTCGTGTAACCTGCTGATGTTTCGAGCTTTGATGTATTACCGAAAGTATAAGATTAATACCATAGAGCGAGTTTCATACTCAAAGTTGTTTGCACTAATGTCTTGCAAGTGCGAAATAAATCATCTTGAAACTGAAAAACTACTCTCCATATACGTAAATAATAAACCACTGGAACTTTTCAGTTTGCAGTGTTTCATTGTGATTAAACTTCCGGCCTGTAGACGCACAGATCGACTATTGTCAGGTCAATGGATTCCAATAGTTCAGTTCCTTGTGAACATGATGATTAACCCTGACTTATAATTAAAGTAGTAGGGTAGGCGTAAAGCCACTGGTTTACAAACACTTTCTAAAGCCTTTCTCCCATGTGATCCGCCTACTGAAACTCCACCAATTTCCGGAGATATCGAGCAGAAATTCTGTTTATAATTAATTTAATTGCGGGAAAAAAGGAAATAAAAAAAGTGGGGTTGTAGGTGAAAGAAGGGCGAGAATCATGAAGAAGTTGTACGACGAAGCAGCTGAGGAAATAATTCGCGAACGCAACGAGCCACCACCGATCGAAAAATACTGCACAGAATACGACGGCAATTACAACAGTAACGTTGAGGTGAAGAAGCCAGAAAATGAGGAAGATACGAAGAAACAGGTACATTTATATCGATTTTTCTTCAACCCAATGTTTCGTTGAATTCTTAAGTGGACGAGCTTGACAGGACATGAAATTACAGAGCTCCAGCCGGAAAGTTTCTCGAGCAATGATAGCAATAAACTTTCCAAAAGTTTCTTTCTCATAAAGAATCTCAGGTGTTGTTTACGACGTCGAAACTAATTTTACTTTGAAGTTTGGCTTGAGCTTTGTTTAATTATCTCGGTTGTGTATAAATCGTAATTAAAGAAAATTTGGTGATTGATACGTACATATTTTGTGTCCTCCGGACCTTAGTGGTCGTTTATATCAATTAGTTTCGCATTATTTCGTACAATGAGACCGACTCCGGAGTGAAAAGAACCGATAAAAGGGTTCGTAAGTTTGTAGGCAGTGTTTTGATTGGATTTCCGTTATCGTTATAGTCGGCCGAAAGTTACAGCTCTAATTGCGTAACATAAAAACGGTTTCAGGATTTTATTAGCCGTATAAATTATGACACGATAGATAAATTCGAACGGTGGCGAGTTATTTAATTATTATTGGGACGTAATTTTCAGTTGTATGAGAAATACCCGTTATACACTTCTCCAGCGATGTCGTATTGGAATTTCCAAATAGAGAAGTTTCAAAGAGGGAACGCATCTTTCCCCGGCCTTACGACGTCTGCTGACCTGAAGAATCCCTTTAAGCGATATTCTAGATTTACGAAACCTATATCTGAAGTTCTGGATGAGTGACTTGAATTTATTTTCAACTCTGGTTTTGGGTGTTTGTAAAAATTTACAATAAAGTGGTAAACAATCAGTTTTAATCATTTTATTGGCATTATGTATGTTCACATATCTGTGGGTTTATTAACCTCATTTGATAACACAAACATTGATAAATATCATTTTGTATTTTGTATGTACAATATTTACAGATTTTATCCTACGGGACACACTCAAACATCTCTATAATACAAAAATTGTGATTGAACATTAGGTACACAAGACAAGCGTGATTTAATATAAAAATACTCTAATTCCTTCAAGTGCATATCTAAATTGGTCAAGAGAGTGAGTGCAATTTAGTCAAACTTGTTTTGGTCAGAAAAAAATCGTCGGTTTTAGTACAATTGTCGTAAACCAAACTTTTTTTAATTGTATTAGTCGGTTGTCAAACTGTTTTCAACACTTGATGAAATGTTAATGGATAATTTCACGCATTTTGCTCATTTAGATAAGCTGTCATCTGCAGAATTTTCAGGAAATTTGAAAGCACAATGGAAATAAAAGGCAACAGTAATTTCTAAATGATGTAACCACAGATATTGTCGATTTCAATTTACACGTCTATGCTATATAAAAGGTGGACTATTTTTTACTTAATTACAAAATACTCAGTTTTTCGCTATGTACATAATACATTGTTTCATTCTAAAAAATTTCTTTTATCATAACAATTTTAAGTTTTATCGGTTTTTTAGAATTCTAAGTTCATCACTATTTTTTTTTAGAATTGCTAATGAGGATAAGTTCTAAATGCATGGAAGAACAGACATGTCAAAACAAAATTCTACTTTATTGAAACGCTAAAGTCTAACGGATGTTACGATTGTCGATATGATTTTTACTGAAAAAAGGGTAAAAGCAAACACTCAATAAAATGAGATTACAGTTTAATTGCTCAAATAAAATAAAGCAACGTACACTTGAAATAAAATCGAAATGCGTCAAGTGGAACAGGTACCGATTAAATAAACTTAAGCTTAATAAAAAATTAAAAACAATAAATGCAAATTAAACAACGGGAAGCTTCAATTGGAAAACTATTTGTTGAAATTATTACAAAAAGTGTTTGTCTTTTTTTAGCATTTTGTTAATTAATTTTAGTTTAATATTTCTAGGTACTTTTATCTCCTCGTAATAAAAAATAAACCTTACTCTATGATTATATACAATAATATTCTCCGCAGGGAATAATTTCTAACACGTAGATTCAACGCACTTTCCCATTAAAATACTTGATATTTCTTACTTCTAATGGTACAATGCGTTGAAATAAGATAATAATATTAATAATTAACAACTATTAATGGTAATTTGAGAAGGGTATTGAGCGTATAGTCTACTCTACTGTTACAAAACAATAAACATTACAATTCAGTGTGCTCCTAGTAACAAACAATTTAAATAAAATTATTTTACACCGATAGATTCTAAAAACGAGTAAGTACAACTGTAAATTATCACGAATTAAGTAACGTACTTAACAGTAATTCCATAACCATGGAAAAACAGAAAACACAACCTACGTCAGAGCGTATCTAGACATCAGATATCGACTATTTTGAGCTGAAACGAAGTTAGAAAACGCACAAAATGGTAAACTTTGTCCTTTTTACACCTCTTATGGGCTGGGCATGGAGTCAGAGAGCACGTCGGAAGGAGTCCCATCGCTGGAATTGATGGAAAAAGCCCTATTAGGAGCCCTACGCTGTCGCAACACTGACGGATCAAAGTTGGGGTGCCGTCGGGCGTGTTTGCTGAAACAAATTTACAAATGTTTCACACAAAAACAATTTTTTTATTTAAAATCGGTCGATTAATGACTGAAAGCAGACAAACAAAATCGCGTCGAAAGTTTGAGAAGCAAAGAAAACAAAATGTTAGAGGTGACAAACAAACCGGGGAATATTTACAAAAGTTATTTTTATGACGGTGACACTTTTGGTTTATTGAATCTCTTATCATAATGTCAGCCGTTAGCGGTAAATGAGAGCTCATTATAATAAAATTGGAAAACATCCCTTCAGCCGCTCGGTGGTGCTCGAGATAATATGATGGCGGTTGGCGGGATCCAAATACATATATTCCAGGCGTTATAAAGATCGCTTTTTTGACCTAGGAAAAAAACGGAAAGTTACCTGAGGTGGTCACTCCTCATAAACTTCTTGTTGCACACTGGGCACGCAAAGTTTTTTTCTCCGGTGTGAGTCCGGGTGTGCCTGGCTAGCTCGTCCGAACGGGCGAATCGCTTCCCACAATTGTTCCAACTACACGGAAACGGCCTTTCTCCTGCAACGAAAAAAGCTTTTTTCACTTGAAAGTTTTAAAGATAGTGTCTGAAACAATTTGGAAAGTGCCAACATGGAAAATGGCACGTTAAATTGAAACAAGCATTTAATACCTCTCAAAACTAAACTCGTTATAGGGCAATTTGTACCAACTATAAGTAATTATTTACAACAACGTGTACATAATAGAAGCTTAAAGAGCAGTATTTAACGGCTGACCGTGCCGTATAAATCATTAGATAAGCGGGCGGCTTCCTTACTTGCTCCGAAGTTTGTCTTGTTAATTAAATTACTACGATACTTAATTAGTACGAGCCTCTTGATTTCAGAACATTTATATTTTATGGCTAACAGAAAGGTACGTAACTTGATTATATCAGCATTAATTAAACTAATAATCCTATCCTTTACTCGCGGCGCAGTTGCAACATTTGCAACTTTGGAACTCTGCAAGAAACACAAGTTTTTCCTACCGGACACCCACTCAGAAATTTAATCTCATTACAAATGTGTCACTAACATGTAGATGTGCTCTGTAACGTTTTAGATTTTTTTTTACTCTACTCAAATTTACGTTTCAATGTTTCAAAGCTTCATTTTTTGAGGAATTTTTGCAATTTAAAAATTTTGTTGATAAAATATTGGCAAACAATGCTACAATGCGTTTGTTGCAGTTCCATAAATGCCTTTAGAAAAAAAATGGAAAAAGGAGTAGAAAGAGACAACTTTATGAACTTCCTCTGTTACATGCCAAACTTATAAAAATCAATCGAAACTGACCAATCACCACAGCTTTGCATCGAGAAATGTTTGTTTCATTTTTTTTTCACCAGATACCTTACCTTATAGGCCATCGATTTAACGCAATTGTCGATAGAATTAGTTTTGTGTGCGAATACTGCTATCCTACAAAAAAATATTTAATTTGATTTATGTCTTAATTTACGTGGAATATCGGAAGAAATCTGAATGGAAGAATTTAATCGAAATGTCAGAGTGGAAGTTCGGGTTTGTAATTTGGCGGGTAGTAATTTATGGAAATATATACACAGATAGCCACTTAAAATAGAAATTAAACGTTGCAGTTAGGGGTAGAATAAAAATGAGAGTCGACTGAATTTGTTCGAGTTGATTTATCGCGAGGGGCGTCGAAGCATTTAATATCCATTATGCCTTGTCCTGGGTGCCCGCTATAAATCGAGATTAAAACTTAAATTAGGAAACTTTTACTGTAAAGCTTTTGCTAACATGTGTTTGTATCTCGGATTGCGGGATTAGCAATCGTGTCTCGTAGCCTCGAATTATTATTGTAGGCCATTAGAGTAAAAAGTTTATTATTGGCCATCTTCGCACTCGAGTCGGAAAAAAAGTGATAAATGACAAAACAGCCATTTGCTCGGCTGGAGAAGAACTGCATAATCTGCATCGTGATAAATCTTCGCTGCCGGTCACGTTCAAGACAGGCAAATCTCGTAAAACTGGAACATGGATTGATAAATTCGCACAGTTCGTTTATTTAAGTACGTAGACGTGCAAATGTCTGCAACGAATGAATAGATTTCTATTCAAAATTTTATCCCATGTCGTATTTCCACTACAGACTCGAAAGGTTGTAGATGTGTGTCATAAATTTTCCAGCGAACGTTACACAAGACACTTGGAAATAATGACAAATCGTCCGCTTCGCGAAATCTCATTTTCAAAGATTCTGACTTTCGGAGGAAAAAGAGCGCGAAAAAGTGTAAAATTTCGCAGGAAATCGGTGATCGAACAAGCAGTCCATAAAACTCGTATAACAACATAAACCGAGTAAATTTCGCAAAAGTGGCGATTGAATCAGAATCAGACATAACGAAATGACCATCAATAAGGGTATAGGGATTGGGGGTGGCGGATGAAGCTGTCAGAAGCTGCATTGCGCGCGGCTCGGGGCGGTTTAAATCAATAACGTGGTGGTTCAGGTTGCGCGCCTGAATTAACCCGTCAGCCTCAAGGCTCCACGTGGAAAGCCATGCACTTGAGTACCTACACTCGCTACTATTGTCTCACCACCGGCATTCCGACAGACCTACATACTTTTTCACCCCTTTCAACCTACTTTACATCATCACAAAATTCGCAACGAAATGATTTCTTTCAAACAACAGTTCTCCAAGATCAACTACTAAAAAGTATTTTTTATCATCAAAAAATAAAATTTCATAATAAAACTTGAAGTAAAGTCAAAAATTCATTCAAAAATAAATTTATCATAGGGCGAATTACCAATTTGGTCCTGTTATTTTATGCTGAATTTATGCAAATCATGAAAAAGTTGATAAAACACTCCATTACAAGTAATTATGTCGGTGCGCAATGTGAATTTGAAAACAATGAAAACACCAAATTAAACCGTAGATGAAAAGTCGCATTTGTACAAACAGTGAAACTGCTAGATACACGTAAAATTATTCTAACAAAAGTAATTACATTTTAAAAGCAGCAGCATTGATAAAAAAACCAGTGCTCTGTAATAACAAAAATCTTTCTACTCACATATGAATTAACAATCAGGTTGTTTTTGAAAATTTGTAAAGTTTCTAATGAAGTTTTTTTTTTCAAAAATTAAGACTACACTAAAGTGACAAAGTGGCTTCGTCACTGTACGAAAACGGCAAAAGTTCGATTAAGAAATGATGCCAATATCAAAAAGTTTAAAGCAACGTACAGGTGAAATTATCGAAAAGCTGATAATTACTTTCAATCA